TATGTTCAAAACTCTCTCTCTCTCTGATTAGTTTTTCAAGCAAAGTATAGAGCTTGAAGAATTAGCTGGTCTTTGGTAGGGTATTTATTGTATATGATTATCAAGGGCAAAATGGAGAAGCAAGGAAATAGCACAACATTTTTTTTGGTCTTTCGTGGCACTTGCATGTTGAAAATGCACGTGTGTACATTTGTTAAGAATATTAAGGCCTGTTTGGTGGAAATTAAAATCAGATTTTTAGTAGGTATAGATAAAAGTTGATGAAATGTGTGGTTGGAAAGTTGTGGGATTAAAAGTTATATGTGATTGAAATTAATTGTTGACTTTGAATTAAATTAAAATCTAGATTTTAATTCGTACCAAATAGGCACTAATATTGTTATTTGTTAATACAGTGTATGATGCAAATTTGTCCTGGGACTCGTTAGACATTGAGACAGGAAATCTGGAGAGTCGAAGCTCAGCTCGGCCAATGAGCCACGAGCTAGACCCTCGAGCCAAGCATACAGATGAGCCACAAGCACTAGCACGAGCCGAGCCCGTGGACATTAGGACCGAGTCACCCTTAGACATCTACTAATAAAAAATTTTACACGTCGACTCATAATTTTTCATATTTTTTTAGCTGTGCAATTTTTTTTTTTTTTAAAATTCATTTTTCATAAAATCTATTCTCAAATAATCTCTACAAGCATGGGCTTATTACTTGGCTGGTATAGCTATTTTTTTGTGAAAAAAATTTGGTAAAACTTCATTTTTAAATACACGTTTCATTCCACCCAACTTTAATCTATTTTTTTACCATATGTTTCATGGGACCAACTACCTTTTATCAATTTTAAATACACGTCAAATGGATCTTAAATATTTACTAAAATAAATTTGACAAAATATTTATTTAATTAATTATTTTTGTCATGAATAGAGTAGATCATTTAATTCTTGACTATTTAGTTTTTTTGAATCAATATCGTGGTCGAGTTTTAAAATATTGCTTGCTTCTTGTGATGTCCGTTGTGTTAGTTTGAACAATGACAATCTACAAAAGTCTCCCTATAAACAAAAAACTTAGTATTTGAAAGGAAAAAAAAATATTTAATTCACATGATTTAGGAATTTTTTTGTTTTAAACACCAAGCTCATTTTCATGTATTGTATTTTATTTGTATTAGTGAAAATACAATAAAGTACTCTAATTGAGTCACCATTTTATTTGTCAGTTGATCTCTTTAGCCCCATTCCTGAGGACCATTATTTCAACATTTTTTTTACGTACCCATTTTTCAACTATACATTCACTCTGTAAAATATCCTACACATAGGTCGAAATAATGGTTGTCAAATAGGGGTTTAATGTTTCTTGTTCTATAAAGAACATCGTGTACCTAAAAAAAATGGCTATAGTTTTGGAAGCTATAAAAAAAAAGGAAAATTGTAATGTTTGTCCAAAATTTTAAAAAGATCGAGTTGGTTCTCAATGTCTAAAGTTAGTCACATGTCATGACCTAAATTAAAGTCATCAAAAGAAAATAATGATTTCATTTTTCAACGAAAGACTTAGCTAAAGTCAGTTGTATTAAATATATTATAAAAGTAATGAGCATT